TCCTATTGAGAAAGTCTTTGCCTGTACCTATATATTGGAGTGTTGACCCTACCTTTTCTTCTAGGAGTTGCATAGTTCTGTTCTAATTCCTAGGCCTTTGATCCATTTTGAGCTGATTTTTTTGTGCATCTATATTTTCACTGTGACCCAACACATGAGGTCAGATGTGGAATATCCCACTTGTGGCATCCTATTGGTATTCAAAAAGTTTCAGATTTTGTAGAATTTCAGATTTTGAATTTTTGGATTAGGGATGCTTCAACTGTGTTTCTAGGGTTACTATAACAAATTGCCAAAAACTGGGTAGTTGAAAAGAAGAGAAATTTATTCTCCCACATTTCTGGAAGCTAGAAGTCTGAAATCAAATTGTTGATAGGTCTGGTTCCTTTTTGGAGGATCTGAGGGACAATCTGTTCCTTGTCTGTTCTTGTTTCTAGTCCTTGTAAAGGATTCTTTGCATTCCTTGGCCTGACACAAAATTCCAGTCTCTGCTTCCCTCATCATAAGTGCCGTGTCTCTTGTCTTCTTTTTTTTAGCTGGCCATAGAAATGACTCTCAAAGTAATTGTGGTGCCTTTGAAGGGGTAGTCCCTGAATCTCCTCAAATAATATGCTGCCCCTGAGAGCAGCTGAGCTCTCCCTTTGTCTGTTAATATATGGATGTTCACCATTGTGGCTGGATAGGGGCGGTCTGCACCCTGCACCAATCCTTGGCTGTTATGGCCAAGTCCTTAGTTGTTATCCAAATATTGGGCTATCATTGTCTTGGGTGAATCTGTACCACAGACAGACAGACAGACATCCTGGACACTGACTTCATAGGCCACTTGCTCACCCTTTGAACCCAACATCAAAAATCCTTATACTACTAAATACTCCAGGTGGGTCCAGAGGGAGGACAACATCAACTTCCCTTGTACACTGTACTGAGAATCCTGGGGTGAGAAGTGAAGAGAGGAAGAGGGTCCAGGGTGATTCGGGACTTCAGGGATGAAGGCCCATTTGGTGTGTGTATAGGCACTCTAACCACTTGTAGGGATCAGCTTTAAATTTACATTCCAATTGGCTCAAGCCTGCATAGTTGTGACCAAGGCAGAAAACCTGTTGGATAGTCTGTTGACCACCATGATGCTCCACCCTCACATCTGTCTGTTTGTAGGAGGGGCATGGCAGTAGCCCCACCACCAGTTCACTCACTGGGCTGGGGTTGTCCCCCAAGATGATGGCCAGTGCCTTCCCTGCAGTTGTGGGGGCCTCCCTCTATCCAGGTGGGCCAGGGCTGCAGCCTTGGGAGGCAGCTGCAGCTCCACTGAGAAATGTGTCCCTTCTCTTCTATGAACAAGGGTGGTTTTGGATTATTGGTGTGCTCCACTCCAGTATGAGCTCTTCTTAACTAATTACATCTGCAATCACCCTATTTCCCAAGAAGGTCATATTTGGAGATCAGGCTCTTAACAAGTCTTTTCTGGGGGACACAATTCAACCCATAGCATTCACTAATCTCCAAGGGAATATGTGTTCCTTGTCAGACTGCTGAAGCTTCTGGAGGCCGAATTATTGCTTCTTCAGGACTCAGCAACTCAAGACATGCTTTTGCTTATTGGAGCATTTGACAGGCTTAGCCTTTCCAATTTTTACTGTCCAGGCAGGGCACCCTCTCGTCTTCCCACAAAGCCTTTAGCGGACATGGGGTGTCCTCTCTAAGTGAAGGTCAGTGAGGCAGCGACCTTTGAGCGAGGGGTCATGGCTTGGTTTGGACGCTGTGTTAAGCATTCGATGTATCAATCCTTTCGATAACCCTGTTAAGTAGGTATTTATATATTTAATTCCTATTTTATAGATGAACACATTGGGCTTTCAAGAGGCTAAATAACTGCCAGAATTATTATTTCTAAAAACCTGAATGGGCGGCAGAAAGCCCTAGACGAAAAGTTCCCCATTCTTCGTCTTCACGTTTTCCGAAGTACCCGGGATCTGGCTAATTCAGTCCATCTCTCAAGAAAACCAAATCTGGAACCTCAATTCTATTGATTCTGGGACGCGGTGCACATTGGAGTCCACACGCGGGGGCCGCCAGCGCTCTTTTCTCCAGAAGCCGCACACAAAGCGGTTCCTTTCTGCGTTCGGGCGCGCGCGGCGTGAGGAGGGCAAGATGATTGGGTGCGCGCGGCCCCCGCTCCCGCCCCGGCGCCTGTCCCGGCGCGCTGATTGGCTGATCCGAGGTACCGCGGAGCCTGCCGCCCCGCGCGCCGCGCCCTGCGGGCTCGGAACTTGCATGGGGCGCCGCCGGTGGCCGCGGGAGCGTGACTGCGCTGCGCAGGGCGCTAGGAGGCATTGTCGCCGTAAGTGGAGCCGAAAGCGGTCCGGAATCGGGCCACACGCTTCGTGCCCCGCAAAGGAAACGTAGTATTGAGGCCAAGCGTTGAAGGGGCTGGGGGAGAGAGGGAGAGAAATACCCCCGTTTATGTTTCGTCCCCTCCCCGCCCCTCCCCCAGGTCACCCGGTGGAATAGAGCAGCGGCGCACCGGCAGCGGCTCCTGCGGTGCCAACCGGCCAGGAGGCGCCGGCTCTTGTTTGCACAAAGCGACTGCATCGCAGTAGCTCTTGGGGAGTGGGTGCAACGCTACCAGGGAAAAGGGAACCTGGGGACGCGCTCCCGGACGGGCTTCCGTTCCCCTGGGGAGGCGCCTGAGCTGGGAGAGGTTACTGTGTATCTCGTCCCCAAGTGACAATTTCGGGGTTTGCTTCCGCCCTGGAGAGCTGCAGATGCCTGCTCTGGAGCTGCCTCTTGGCCCCACAGCCGCTGTGGGGATGCCTCAGTGCTTTGCTTTATTTTCTCCAGTCCCCGCCTGCCGGGCAAGCGGTGGGCCCGGGACCAGGAGTCACCGAGGGCATCCGGCTTAGGCGGGCCCCTGCCTGGCCAACAGTGCAGTCCTGGAAGGTGCAGTCCGAGGATGTCAAGAAGTCCATAAGGGAGCTCGCACAGGTCTCCTCAAACCCCGTGGCACAAAAAACAAGGCGTCCCGTTCCCAGCCCAACAGGCTCTTTCCCCCCGGGTGTGAAAGTGGGTCAACTCTGTACTGGCCTGCGTGGGCCTTTGGAACTAGTGGGGTCCAAGCAAGTCCTCTGCCCTTCAACTCGCTTGGCACCATCGAGAGAACTGGCTAGAGCCATGGGTGGGAGCAGCTCGAAACACATGGCTGGGGAGGCTCAGGTTGTCATTCGGAGTGGCTGCCAGGCTATAAAATTCCCAATTGACCACACCAGTAACTAAATATAGGAGCAGCTGGTGCAGATGGGGGTGTCGCAATGGTTCCTTTGCAGAGTTCCTGGGACTGCAGAAAAGGTAGAGTTTTTGCTGGTAAGGGCTGAGTCAGAGAACCACTGTCAGGGTTTAAGTACACCCCACCCCACCCCCAGCTTTGAATTGAGATGAACCCAGGTTCCGATGTAGACTAATAGCCAGTATTGCCAGCTCCCACAAAATCAACGATTTTTTTTTCCTGGCATTCAATTTATTATATTCAAACTTCCTGTCTACACCTGTTTGATCTTTGGAAATGCCTTCACGTGGGAAGTACTTCATGGTTTGTAAAGTCCTTTCTCAAAAGTGCTGTATCAGGTATTTTTCATAACCAGTTAAGGAAGGTGGTATTTTCATTTTGCAGATGGGGCTGCTTCACAGTCCTGGAAACTGTGCATGAATTAGTTACCCTCCTCAGAGGACAGCCTTGTAGGATGGCCTCCTTTATTCTGGTAACAGACGGGTGGCCTGCTCCCTCTCTCCTGCATCTCTTTGTGTAGCTGGTGCTCAAATATTGCCTTATGCCTTCATTGAGGTCCCTTGGGCCTGGCATCATAGCTGCAGTGGCATCTGGCTCATCCTGCCTCCTGGTGGGAAGCTTGTTCTGGCCCATACCCTGTCCCTGTCCTGTTAAATTACTTCTCAGTGTGTGCCTTAAAGAAGGTCCCCACGAGATGTTCATTGGATTTAAACATATCCTGGGACCATGGTGCCCACTCATAGGAAAGGGGAGTTGGGCTGTGTGGAGAGGACCATATGGGGACAGGAGCAGTGTGAGTGTGGGCTAAGACCCTATGTCCAAGGGTCTCTGGGGTTTGGAGTGCTTTCTTGACATTGTCCAAAGCCCCTTCCAGTGCCTGGAACTGATTGGGATTGGTAGTACCATCTATCTGGAACATTCCATGCCTAGGCTAAACCCATGTGTGCTGATGATTCCTGTTTCTGTCCTTTGGGATGTTCTCTGACTCCTTGCTATCACCACTCCTGCACGTGGGGATGACCAGATGCTTCAGGGAGCTCCACACTTGGGCCTGTGGGGTGTCCTGGAGTCCTGTGGTTGGGTTCTGGTTCCAGGAGGGGCTGCCTTATTTGCCAGTTGTTCAGATGGTGCTGACATTCAGATTGTAGGTTGTGGACTCAGATTATTTATCTACACAGGAGCCCCCACAACCTAGGGGCAGCCTTGCCTAGGGGCTTTGCCCTCAGTCTAGAAGAGGCCCGCAGCTCTCTGCCACTTGCATGACTTGGACAATTTTCTGTGTTTGGCTGATCTTGTCCATGCCCTTTTGGAATCCCAGAGGCCCAGTCCAGCTCCTCATTATCCCAAGTTTGTTAGTTTGGACCCCTCTGACCCTGTACTAGGCCCTGAATAACATGGGATCCTGCCGCCCTTCCATCTCGCAGCCTTGCCTCTCTCTGTCCTCCGGCTTTGGAGAGGGACTGCCCATGGACTTAATTCTCCCTTGTCGGGGGACGAGGAAGTTTTAGGTGAAGGAAGGGTGATTCCTAGCCAAGTAGTGAGGGTGGTGATTTTAAGCACTTAATATTTTAAGTGATGATTTTAGATCCCCTTTGGAAATCTAGGGCACCTTTGTGCTGTGCTCAGAGAATGGTTTGGAATATTAGAAACGCTTCTTCCTAGTGAACTATTCTGACACTTAGACTTTACATGTTGATCCTGTTTAGGCTTTTTTGTTCCCTCTGACTCGCAACATTGGGCCTCAGAGCTTGCCATTACTGGGACTTCCTCTGCTTCAGCCTCCCAAGTAGCTGGGATTATAGGCATGTGCCACAATGCCCAGTTGTATGTGTATGTTTGTGTGTGTGTCTGTTGGTTTTTAAAAGCTCAAAAGCAACCCAGATGGACTTGTGCTAAGTCATTAAGTGCTGTGGAAACTCACAGGGAAGAGAGAACACTGAGGGCTGGGGCAATCAGGGAAGACTTCCTGGAGGTGGAGAGATGGGAATTCTCATTCCTCAGAGATGACTTGCTCAATTTCGCGTGGACAATGAGCTGGGATTAGAAGCTGCTGCCATGCCTGCCCATGTGCTGCTTTATCCTCTCAACTGGAATTATGGAGTATTCAGGTAGATCTATAGATTTTGTTCAATCGTGTTTAACTCAGCAAGGTGGGTATTACTAGACCTACTAGAAGAAACGGGCTCAGAGTAGTTAAAAAACTCTCCCAAGCTGTCTTAGCTACTAATGGTGGAGTTGGACATTCTGTCTATCAAACAGCCTTTCCCCCTGCACCCCTGTGTCTCTGGCCTTCAGTGTCAGCCTCCCTGGTGAAACACACACATGTGGAATACCGTTGACTCTGCTGGGCAGGTAGATGGGCTTGGCTTTGCTCTGCTTGTCTAGCTGAGCCCGTGGGCACTGTTCTTGGTCTGCCAGCAGCTCTGAGCACTGTCTCCCTCCCTTTCCCATCTGCCCTCGGAACAAGCTCCCTGGAATCCCTGAGTTATCTGGGAAGCTGGGATTGGAGCCTAGGGACAAAGACCTTGACCTCAAGTTCCTTCTCTCTTTGTGGGGTGCGGCTGTTATCAATATGGGTGACTTCTGTGAACATTGGATATGGAGCAGGCCTGATCATTGTCACTCACTCCCTTTGACCTTGTTCAGGCCACTTAGCCACTTCCTATGCCTTAGTTTCCTTCTCAGTAATAAACAGAGGGTTGAGGACATTTTTATGTCTTAATACCACATAATTTTATTTTAGCCCCTTATTATTTTATCTCCCTTACCCTTCTCAAAGGCGTCCTCCCTGGCGATCAGGTCCCCTTCTCTCGTTTCTAGCACCTCCCCCTTTTCTTGGAGATCAACCCAGCATCAGTCTGATAATCAGGTCTGCAGGCTGATGCTGTAACCTTCCCTTCCTGTTGGCACTTGGGGAGGCAATTTCTAGAGACCCATCCACCTGTCACACTGAGCTCCAATTTGCCTTGGTGTCTCCACCTCCTGCCGTGCACAGGGAGCCTGGCAGATGTGGGTGGGGTGAACAGGGGAGCTGGAGCAATTGTGCAGATAGAGCCCTGACTCAGAGGTCGCAGTATGGAGGGACAGGTGTCTTTCCCCTGCACTTGGCTGTGTCCTGCCTCCTCCTTGGTGCCCCACCTGTTGAGTCACAGGCCAGTGCACATCTGAGTCCTTACACCCACCTGGCTACTGATGCAGGCCCTGGCCCTGCGTCTGATGAGGTCACACATGTTGATCCTCCCAGAGAAGCAGCAGGGCCCAGCTGCCCTCACCCTCTGACAGGCCCATCAGCTCTTCCAAAGGCTGAGCTGCCTGTGGCCTAGGTTCTGAGTTCCAGAGAGGAGGTAAGTGGCCTGAGGCCCCCTGTAGGCTTCCCGGCAGCCTGGGTTCCTGGGGAGGAGGTGCATGGGGCGAGCCCCAGCTGGATGGTGCTTCATGGCCCTGCATTTCCTCTAGGCACAGGCCCCTTTGTGAGCAGCAGACCGGCCTGGGGGCTGGCAGCGGGACACCCCAGTCTGCATGCTGAAGAAGATGGGTGAGGCCGTGGCCAGAGTTGCACGGAAGGTGAACGAAACGGTGGAGAGCGGCTCTGACACTCTGGGTGAGTGGGGACAGGGCTTTTCCAACTGACCTGTGGAGTTCAGTGTAGAGATGGTCTAGGAAGAGCTGAAGGGGTCAGTCTCAGGTGCGCCTTGTCAGGAGGGAGTCATGGATCTTTCCCTGTAGTGGTGGAACCGTGTTAGTCTGTTCATGCTAGGTCCCAGCATACGACACATTTCTTACCATGGGTCATGGCCAAAGAGGTTTGAAAAATGCTAGAAAATGGGTCTGGACTGTGGTTGTGGCTCAGCGGTAGAGCGCTTGCCTAGTACATTCGAGGCGCTGGGTTTGATCCTCAGTACCACATAAAAATAAATAAATAAAATAAAGGTATTGTTGCCAACTACAACTAAAAAAAAAAAAAAAATAGTGCTAGAAAATGGAGCCTGAGGCTGGGTGCGGTAGCACACATCTGTAATCAATCCCAGGAACTCAGGAGGCTGAGGCAGGAGGATTGCAGGTTTGAGGCCAGCTTCAGCAAATTAGTGAGGCCCTCAGCAACTTAGACCTGTCTCAAAATAAAAAATAAAAAGGGCCGGGGATGTGGCTCAGTGGTAAAGTGCCCCTGGGTTCAATCCCCAGTACAAAAAAAAAAAAAAAAAAAGAAGAAAGAAAAAGAAAATGGAGAGTGTGTGCTTATCCTTGGACTGCAATGATTCTGAGTGTGTGTGCCCCTGGACCAGCCGAAGATACCGGGCCAGCGCTGGCTGAGTAGCCCTTGTGCATGGCCCTGTGCTGGGTGCCTCCGAGTGTTCTCTTGTTGAACTTCCCTGTGATGAATCATACTTGCCGGGTGTGGCCAGCCCCCCTCTGCAGATGAGGAGAAGGTGCAGTTGCACAGGCAGAGTGGGCTCTTTTGAGATCGCTCAGCCGGGAGGCCCCTTTGCACTCCCTTTACACTGCTTGAACTGTGTCGTCTGTGCCTTTCTTTTTAACCCAGAGGCACTCTACCACTGAGCTACATCCCCAGCCCATTTTACATTTTATTTTTTAATTGTTTTTGCAGTCCTCCTGCTCAGCCTCTCAAATAGCTGGGATTACAGTTACACACCACCACGCCCGGCCTGCCGCAGGGGTCTTTCGCTTTGAACTGCTCTTAGCCTGGTAGCTGCTCAGGTACCCCAGGACAGACCATCCCGATTAATCAACAGATACTTATGTCAAGGGTCAGCAGGGGATGCTGTGCATCTACCTAGGTGTGTGTACATGAATGATGTGTGTGTGTGTGTGTGTGTGTGTGTGTGTGTGTGAGAGAGAGAGAGAGAGAGAGAGAGAGATCGATCCTTGGAGTGTAAGCACCACTGCAGAGCCACAGCTGTACTCTGGGAACCCAGAGGACAGAGGACTAGGGCAGTCTTTTCTTGGGGATGATCGTGCAAATAGTCAGGTGGCTTTGAGTTAAGTCTTTGACATAAAGAAAGGAATTCCATAGGCAGGTGTGTGTGTGTGTGTACTCGCGCGCGCATCTGTCTGTCTATGTTTTTCTGTCCATCTGGCAAAGGAGCATTTCTATACTGGTTACTGCCCGAGCAAAGACCCAGACCCTGGCATTTCTGTGAGCAGCCAGGTGTGTCTGAATGCAGCTCCCGAGGCAGGGGGTGATGGCTCAGGAAGTGGAAGGACACTTAGTCTTTTGGATGGGTTTGGTCAGGGCCTCTTCCAGGAAGCCCTCACCCTGACCCCGTTCACCCCTGCTGGCTTCCTGCTCTCTAGCACCTAGCCAGCATCCCTAGAGGTCAGGGACCCTGTGATCTTTTGCTCCTGTCTCCCTGCCCCAGCTGGAGCCCAGCACAGGGTCAGGTGCTGTGTTGGCATAGGGAGGTACTGGCTGAGCTGAGCCGAGGAGGGCGAGGCGTCTCCTCTATCAGCAGACTGACTTGACGATGACTGCCGGCTCTGGAGGGAGCTCTGGGGAGCCGCATGGTGGGGAGCCATTGGCTGTGGGCCCTGAGTCAAGGAGTCCTGGATTCTGCACTACTCTCTGACATGGTTGTGCTTGGCCCAGTATTTGAGGCTGACCACCACTGATACTGTAGCTGACAGCCAGACTTTGGCTCTTGGGGGCCTGGAGGTGAATCCCCACTCTGTCACCTACTAGCTTAGTACCTTTGCAGATTGTTTAACCCGTCTGAGCCTCAGTTTCTTCATCTGTAAAATGAGCTTGGTAATAGTGTCTACCTCATCAGGGTGGTTAGGAGCAATTATAATGCCTGTAAGGTGCTTGGTATGTAGGCAGCTCAGTAGATGGCAGCGATTATTTTTAATTTTTTCTCATCCCTGAAAGCTAGAGGTGGGGCCTAAATCCTGCGTGACACAAACACTACCTCCAGGTGTCAGCCAACCAGGTCTCTCTCTGCTGGGCCAGTTTCTATTGGTGACTTAAGTATAAATTGATAAATCTCTGGGTCGAATCACCTATACCTATGTTAAAATGTCACAGGTTAGAGGGACACATGAAGCTCTATCTCATTCAGATGTGGCAAGGGTACAGGGGCTGCAGGGCGGGGGGGGGGGAGGCTTCCTGGGGACAGTTATGAGGACACAGGTATCCCAGGCAGTGGGAGGGAGGGAGAGGCCCCTGCCGAGGTGTCACTGCTGCATGGGGCAGGGGGTGAGGGATGGTTCCCAGTAAGTAGACGGTTTGGCTTTGCTAGGGAGTTTGGGCTTCAGCTTCTGTGGACCAGAGATTGTGAACTCAGATGTCCCCATGGGCCCCTTGGGAGTTTCTGTGAACTGGCAAGTTGGCAGCTGCCTTGGGTGAGGTGTGGGGGGCGCTTTGGGGAGGGAATGCCACAGCACCTCCTCTGTACCGTCCATGGTCCATGCCCACCAAGGAACTCAAGCCAGGCCTCTGGCTCCCTGCCAGGCCACTAACTGAACGGCACCAGAGCCAGGCCTTTGCCCTACCACGCAGCCCTCAGTGGGTGTGGAAGTTCAGTGAGTGTGGCAAAGCCCTTACCAACCTGGGCGAGCTATGAGCCATGGTGGCCCTGGCTGAAGGTGGAGATGCCCAGGCGGTGGGGACCAGGCCTTTAAATGTAGGATTGGACAGTAGGGGGGCCTTTTTACCTCTGTAGTGGTCAGAGAAGAAGCAAAATATCAGCACAGGCCACTGTGGGTGCCTAAAGTCCTGACCCTTGGGAAGGGGGGCTGGCCAGGCTCATGCAGCCTGGGAGGTCTGGGATCTAAGCAGTCAGTGGGTATTAAGCACCTGCTGTGTGCAAGGTGCTGGAGAGCTCACGGGATGTGTACAGTAGTGCTCTGGGCCTGATCCCAGCCCACCACCCATGAGATAGAGAGCAGCGATGCATAGCCTCCAAGCTCGGCCATCAGATGGAGCCCAGGTTATAATTCAGAGGAGGAGTGCGGCTGGGAGTTCATATAGCCAGGAAGGTTTTCTGGAGGAGGTGGAAATGGAACTGGGTGACTCAGTATGGTTCCTGTGTGAACCAGCAAACAGTCTAAGCAGCCTCAGCATCCCGCTCCAGATGATGGCTTAGATCAATTTTGTCACAGCTGTACAGTGTCAGTTGTGTAGCCATTAACAACGGTGCGTAACCTTCCAACGTGTGCTTAAATAAGGACCAGCACATTCTTATATATGATGTGCTTGGGAAAAAAAACAACAACAAGGATCCCAAACTGTGTATATGATAATATACCAAATATATTAAACATGCGTATTTATGTAGAAGAGAAAATGAAAGGAAACAAAACAAGATACAAATGAAAATTAGAAAACGATAGTTTGTATTTTATAAATGTTCTGTGATAATGCATTTTTTAAAATTAATTTTTGAAACAAGATCTTGCTCTGTTGCCAAGCTAGGCTTGAATTTGAAATCCTTCTGCCTCAGCTCCTGAGTGACTGGAATTACAGATGGGCACCATGGTGCCCAGTTCCTCGTATTTCTCTTAAAACTAGAGGAGAATAGAGTTTTAAGAAGGACCACCTGGTACTATGGAAAAAACACAAGTCAGGGGTGCTCATCTTTTTTTTTTTTTGTACCAGGGATTGAACGCACGGGCACTCAACCACTGAGCCACCCCGCAGCCCTATTTTATATTTATTGTGAGACAGGGGAGGATTGGACAAGGTAGTTGCTTAGGGTCTTGCTAAGTTGCTGAGGCTGGCTTTGAACTTGCCATCCTCCTGCCTCTGCTTTTGGAGCCGCTGGCATTACAGGTGAGCGCCACCAACCCTGACTTGGGGTGACTTTAAAGAGGGATCATTACAGCAGAAAAGCAGGAGGTGGAAAGGCCTAGGAACTGGACCAGGAGGCATGGCTGCCTTGCGTGGAGGCATTGCCGTGGGCCGGGAAGAGAGGAACCAAGCTCACTTGGGCCGCGGTGTTGGATGGCACCTTTGGTACCTTTTAATCCTTTCAAGAGTCTTGTGTTTTCTGACTCTGAGGATTCCTGTCTGTTCATTTATAGAGAACTCCTGGTTACTGGCTGTTGGTGTGTTGCTCTTACCCATCCCTTGAGTCTCTTTTGTCAGGAATCCCTGCAGGCCCTCCTCTGTATCTCCTTATTTTTTGAGGTACAGGGCTTGAACTCAGGGACACTTGACCACGGAGCCACATTCCCCAGCCCTTTTCTTTTCCTTTTTGATTTTTTTTTTTAGTTATAGATGGACACAATATCTTCATTTATTTATTTTTATGTGGTGCTGAGGGTTGAACTCAGTGCCTCACATGTGCCAGGCAGACGCTGTACCACTAGCTACAGCCCCAGCCCCAATTCCCCAGCCCTATTTTGTGTTTTATTTTTAGAAGCAGGGTCTCACTGAGTTGCTTAGGGCCTCACTGAGTTGCTGAGGCTGGCTTTGAACTTGCCATCCTCCTGCCTCAGCCTCCTGAGCTGTGGGATTCCAGGCATGTGCCGAGGCACCCGGCCTCCTTCTGTATCTTCTTGCTTTCTTTGGGCCACAGCTGAGGGATTTCTTCAGTCTGCCCTCCATTTCACTCTTTGCTTCTTTGTGTTTAACCCACTGAGCCT